GTTTTTCCATGAAGTATCTCCTCTAATATAACTAATACCTCTAATACCAATCCAATCAATATTGGGATTGATATTAGGTAGCCATATCAAATTATTTTTGCAAATACTTATTATTATAGAAAATTGATAATAATTGCCAAGCAATGTGTTATTTGAAAGGTTTGTTAGGAGTGGGTGATGAGAATTGTCTTGCATTCCCATTGGTTAAGAGGGAAATTCTTCCCACAATCATAACTGTGATGGTTAAGATTTATTGTGTGTTTACAAGGACTAGGCATTTTAAAGTACTTTATATTTCAGTTATTTCTCATACTCAAACTTTGAAAGGATTGCTATATTTTTCTCTATTTTTTATATGAAGAAATCTGAAGCCCAGAGAAGTTACAAAGTTTCCTCAGGCTAACAGCATGTACATCATAGAAAAAGATTGAAAAATCAAGTAGTTTAGTGCCTGTACCCTCTACCTCTGATTATATCACATTCTAGTGGAGAATTCTTCAGCAGAAACCTGAAATTTCTACTAACAATAGCCATCCTTACTTATATGACTTCAAATATAAGAAATGATCACATAAGATACATGGGGCTACTCCTCCAAATGAGGTTATAGATCATGGGCTCTACTCATGCACTGAATGACCAGGGATGGTGCATTAGCTTCTTAGCATTGCTATAACAAATTACCACAAATTTGGTAAGTTACAAGAAATTTATTAACTCATAGTCTGGAGGCCAGAAATCTGAAATCAAGATGCTGTTAGCAGGGCTGCACTCCCTCCAAAGACTATAAGGATGGATTTTATCTTGCTTCTTGCTGCTTTGGGTGGTTTCAGGTGTTCCTTGGCTGTGGCTGCATAACTCCAATCTCTGTCCCATGCTTTATGTGGCTTCTTCTCCCAGTTTCTCCTTTGTGTGTCTCTTACAAGTACTCTTCTTATTAGAGTCAGGGGCCCATCCAGATAACCAGGATGATCTCATCTCCAAGATCCTTGACACTTAATTACATCTGCTAAGACCTTTTGTTCAAATAAGGCCACATTCACTGGGTTTGGGCTGTGTCATATCTTTTGGAGGCAAACATTCAACCTGTGCAGGTGGGATACCACAATTGCAACCATTGGCCCATGGTTGGAGAATTGAAGTCAATTCATTCAGATTATTGCCTGTTTTTCTTCTTGTTTTTCCTGTGGGAAGCAGTTTAGCAAATTCTTTGAAGCTGTATTTCCAGGGATCAAATGTGAGCTCTGTTATTAATATCTTATATGTTAATATTCAAAGTTTGTAAACCTTTCTCTACCTTGATAGTCCTTATCAGTAAAATGAGGACTTTTAGCGGTACCTACCTTAGAGATTAGTTAAAAGAATAAAAATTACTTAATAACTGTAAGGCACAATATCTGACCCATTATAATTATTTAAAAAATGTTAATTTCTGTCCATAGAAGAGGAATATTCTGCCTCTTAGGATTAAGGGGGGTGCTCTACAAAGAAGGTGATATTTGAAATAAATGTAAAGTGTAAATGGAACTTACTAGATGGGTAGGAACGGAGAGATGCTAACAGAGAGGAGCATTGAAAAAGCAGAAAGGTTTCAAAGAGCTGGGTCTGGTTAAGAAATAAAGTGAGATGCAGGAGGTGAGCCTTGAAAAGTCTTTGTAAGCCAGAACCCCTGAATGATTCCTGAATTTTCTGTCTCCTTATAAGCCATAGCTAGTGACTTGTCCTGTGGATTCAACCATCTATATACACGGTATTTCTCACTGTTCTGGCCTCTTTATTCCCAATTGCCATTACTTAAACCTGGTCCCCATCAAATTTATTAGCTTTCTATATCAGTTACATTGCACTTGGCAGCCATTATGAATAACAGCAACAAAATTAAAATGCCTTACGTAACACAATTTGCGTTTCTTACACAACAAAATGCCTGAAGTTAGGTGATGGCTTCCATTGGTTCAGCAGCTCCATGGCAACTGGAACAATGTCTCTGCCATTCCTTAGGTCTTTCCTTTGTTGCTGTGTCTGGTTGCTGTAGCTCCAGCCATAATATCCATGTTCCACACAATAGCAAGGGGAAGAAACAATGTCAGCCACATCTGTACCATATCTGTACTATAGTACATCTGTACTATAATTTAAGCAACTTGAGTTTTCCAAAAACCACCAGTAGACTTCTGCTTACATTTTATTATATCAGAGAAGATGGCAAAGCATTTGGCTCACACTACTTCCAGTTCAAAGAAAAGAAGGGGCAGTTAGTAAGAAAGGGAGGGGTAGGCTGGGTAATAGGAGTAAGTAACATGCCTTCTGTGCTTCAGCTCTAGTGGGCTTGTCTCTAGTCATCCCCAGTCATACTCCACTCTGCTGGCTAAGCAGCTTTCAAATAGACAATCTGATCATATTGCTTTATTAATTTCCCCCAGCAGGCAAGAGTGCTTTCTGCATGTAATTCAGTATCATATATGACTAACTCTCATCTACCTTCCCAATGTCATCTATTGCTATTTATACTTTACATGTTGTACTGTGTCTCCTCTGATTCTCTCTCCTTCCTCTTAGTCAGTACGGACCTATTATTTTCCCCAAAGTTTAAGTTCTACCTTGCCATATGCCTTAGTAGTCAAAGTTCCCCTTTCCTGGCATGTCCTAACATGCCACACTATAGACCTCAAAAATGCCAGCCTTCAAGACTTATTTGACTCTATGACGCCTGCTCTTGCTGGCTCCCTTTCCCTTCCA